CAGAAAAAGCGTATCCAAACCTTCGGTACAGGGGGATGATGCCGGCTGCCTTGAAAGCCTCGAGCCTTTTGTAGATGAAGCTGAAATCCAGGCCTTTTACTAGAATAGTCCGTCATGTAAATTGACTTGCCAATCGTGTGTTTCTCGGGGACAAGGTTCGGAGGAAGCTGAACCCACTGTGGCATTTTGAAGTCAACTTGCAATAAATGCCCGCTCTAAAGTCAAAACTGCTCAATCTGAACAATGCCGGCAATCACAATTGTACCATTAAATTCACGATCTGTTGCATTCCGCACGACGGAACCTAGACGTAAACTAAAGAGGTCACCATGGGAAAATTGGCACCTCTTCTCCGATTGGCTGTCGCAAGAATACTTAGTACTCATTAACTAATTAAGTCGCTCACGACTCCCTGTCTTTTACAATAATTATACTTTTGGTCATTTCATTATTTTTGTGTGTTACGTTGTGGAATTCTTTGTCTTTCAAAGAGCAGGTATCGTAGATCTTCTCCTCTCCGATCTTATCCAGAACGAAAAGTTTTCCCTTTTTTAGATCCTTGACGTCAAGCTTCACGTAAAACAACATTGCATGCAACAAAGAGCCTGCCATAAAATTGAAAGAAGCTTGTTTATTCCTCTGGGACCTTCAAACACAATAAAAGTCAATTAACAAACCCTTCCCTTGAGAGAAAACCAGCTGCCTGATTTTATTGTCACGCCATTTGTCTTTCAAAAAATGGTTCTTTGTATTTCCGGTACTAAAGAGTCTATACTGGCTTGCGAGAAGTTTCCAATTTTCTCTCAAACAGTGGAACTATAATCAACCGCGTGCCCCGCAGCGTAGCCTTCGAATATCACTCGTTCCCCGCTGATGGGAAAGGCCGGGGAAACGTACCATGGCGGCGGCGAGCGATGCAAGGCGGCTGTATTCGCTGCGATGCGCGACATGTCCATTTTTTCTCGTCTGCCAGTTGTTCCTGAGATTGAGGAAAAAGATAGCTTCGGCCCTGCCGGTAGCCTCCCAAGCACGCGTTTTCGGGGTCTTCGTCACCCGTTCTTCCGGCTACTCTCGTTGGAGAGGATTGCGTGATGGGACAAAAGAATGTCCGAGCCAACCTCGTCCCCAGGGCTTTTCCCTTAAAAATGGGTGGGGCCACCCATTTTTTAAGGGAAAAGCCCTGGGGACGAGGTTGTGTCCGAGCTGCCGAAAGGCGTTTAGTGTCGTCACGTAACGCTCTTGGAGCGTTGCGTGACGACACTAAAAACATCTGTGTAGCAGACTAACAGGCGCTATTTCGGCGCTTATGTAGGCGAGCGCGAAGCCGACGTGAGTTCTCCGTCGCTTGTGTCTCGCCTCAAAAACGCGAAAAAATAGCGCCCGTCCGGCAAGCTGGTTTGTTATCACAACCTCGTTCCCAGGGTTCTCTCCTGTACCCGCACTGGTGGGAACGAAGTAGGAAAGTAGGGCTTCTTATGGTAGCAATTTCCATACGTCATCATGAGACAATGACTCCTAATTTTTGCTGAATTTTATTTTGCAATTACCAAAATGAGCAAGTTTATGTTTAATAGCTTCGCAAAAAAAAAACTTTGTATCAATATAAAAAGCCAAGTTTCCTGGGCGTGGGTGGGCGAGTCCCGGAGAAGCAGGAAGTTTCCCCCCAAATCATTTGGAAAGGAAGCATGCATTCAGATTCTACGGATGGTTTATTTGATATCGGAGGGTTTTTTCACACGGAGGTAATAAAATAATATAGACCTGCATATGGACATGCTTCCGGGAAATATGAAGATATCAGGGGACGAGGAGATTTGTTACGTTGTAAAACGTGTTGCTCGAAGTTTGTAAATCGATCTGAAAAAAAAAAAGCAAACATTTATTAACACGAACGCACGAAACCAGCTCATCAAAATAAGACAGCGCAGTTTAAGTAAACTTGGAATAAAAACGGACCTGTGATTGGACATGACTTCAAAATTTCTACTGTAATTCCTAACGTTGCTCTTGAATCTTTCCCATGTGAACATGTTTACCGCAAAATTTACAAGGGACTTCCCCCTGCTATGCGGCCACCTTTCCGTCTTTAGCCCCCAATACGCACGCGCGATTAGATCAACTTCCGATCCATTTCCTAGAATTGCAATGGATGCCTAATCTTGGCTTCGATGAGGCGTAGTAATAAATAGCTTTGTTCAGAAGTTTTTTTTGCTAAAACTTGTTCTCTCGCGAAAAAGAGATGGAACAGTCTATAAGAGATGTATTGAGGGCTCATCGGGTTGTAATCGCGGACAACCTGCAAGAAAGAAGAGTAGTCGAACATCTCTTTGCCGAAGGTGTTTTGGACCAAATTGATAAAGAGGAAATACACGCAGAAACGTCAAGATTCAGTAAATGCTGTTTGCTGTTGGATAAGCTTCCTCGGAAAGGCCCTAATGCGTTTGAAAGGTTCTTGCAAGCTCTCAGACTTTCTGGCCAGGGGTTTTTGGCGGATACGTTGACAGGTAAATTAATCATAAGCTTACGGTTAACGATCACGTTCATTGATCAAATCAAAATAACCGCAGAGGGCGCTACAATGTATGAATGAGCGTTGTCGCTTAAATATTCCCTTAGCGTTTGATTGTTTTAACGGAAAAGATAAATATTATGTGAGGCTAATATCTCGACTAATCTCGGTTTGAATAAAATTTTGTAAGTTATATTAGTTCGAGAATCGTGGGTGCCATTAATGTAGTGTATGAGGGACCAGCCCACAAAACAGCATGGAAACAAACCGCGCCGACTGATTCCGGCCCGGTCATTTTGATTTTTGGAAAGCAGCAGTAGCTTCTACGGAAAAACCTCCACGCCTAAGACTGAGCGTGGGAGCAAAAATACATCGTCGTAAACGTTCAAATCGTTGTATTTTCTGATTGACGTGGTTCGTGTGGGTGCATGAATGATGTGCGTAAAATAAAAAAAATAGACCTTGTCACGGTTTTCGACGCCAGCTTGAGGAGTAGGCAAACGTGTGAGAAATTACAGTGTTTGTATAGGAATCTAATACCGAATAATTTCCGTAAAACGGCTGTTCTGAAAAAAAAAATCAATTGTAAACTAAAGCTACAAAGCAAGGGATTGTCCTACAAAAATTCTTTACCTGTGCTTAAATTTCTCCAGAGGCTTGCTTTAGATTTCCCATATATTTGTCCGTAATTTTCCTGGGACTTTCTTACAGACAAATGTATAGAAAATTTTAAAAAGTGGTTCTAGGTCTTCTAGTGCATGTAACGCCCTCAAATTTTTTTCAGGAGAATCGTTGGGAGTGAAGCTTTAGTTTACAAATCATATTTTTTTCAGAACAGCCGTTCTACGGAAATTATTCGACGTTAGATTCTCATACAATCACTGTAATTTCTCACGCATTTGCCTACTCGTCCAGATGGCGTCGAAAACCGTGACAAGGTCTGTAGCAAAGTGGAACAGGGAGAGCAAGTTCCAGACCATTGAACAACAAACATAACATCAAAAGTGTTGGGAAGGCAGCTACTTTTGACCCCCTTTTGTTTTTCTTTCTCCCCCCACTCCCAGCCCAATGTTGAACAAAACTCTGATGTTTGTGCTCCGTTGTGGTCCCAACATTGAATGTGGGTGGATGGGGGGTAATAGTAAAAGGGAAAACAATCTTTTTGAACATTGAAATGAACTACTGTTAAGTTGTACAACCTTCCCAACTACTTTTGTCTGAGATTGTAGCTTGGCTGCATGGGAAGGTACAATCTTGGACAAAACTGTTGAGAAAATTGTATACTTGGACAGCATTTTTCTAAACATCGAAGCTGTACTGGTTCTTCCCTCTCTCCCTTCCCCTGAAAGCAATGTTGTTGTGTATTCAAAAGAAAGCCTAATCCCTGGGTGTTTGTGGGAAGCAACATTGAATTTGTGGAGGTTTTTTTTTTTCCGCAAAGGCGTCGTTTTGGAAAGAGTTTTGTTGCGTAGGAAAGTGGACACGATGGGGAAAACTTTCTCAAGTAGTTTTGTCCGGGATTGTAGCTTGCCTACTTTGGAGGCTAGCGGGAGGCTATTGTAGATGGTTTGGACAGACAGTTCAGATAGATGGTTTTTTATCTTGATTATTGAACAACAAGGTGGAGAGTGGCAAATTAAATGTATGGACAATAAAGAATATTAGAATATGATTTACTATAAAAAAAATACAGTACATGTATGTGCAGAACTTACAGTACTGTAGTAGGTTCAGGTTAATGGTGAACAGTAGGATTAAAGGGAAAGAAGCCAAGAAAGATAAAAAGTAAGAAAAAAACAACAGCAACAACAAAAAACAAAAAAAAAAATTCAAACCTGTCTCATTTTGCTTGTGAGGGATATTCCTTACCACTATATACCAGGGTTGGTTAATTCATCATTTGATTTCATCAGTAATATTGAGAACAGGGATGTAACCTAGGGTTCCAGGGTATCTACAAGTTGAATTGCATTTGAATGAACTATAATATAACATTACCATGCAAATATTATATGCATCCCTTGGTATTATTTTATAGGAGAATCCAGCGCAGGAGCAAATTTAAGCCAATCAAGGTCATTTGGTCTCCCAAACAAGGTTCCTAAATTTGTTGGCAGGTCAGATGTTTGTGAGGAAATCTCAGGGCTGCTGACTTCTCTAGAAACAACCCTTGTATCTCTGATTGCTCCACCTGGATTTGGAAAGACAGCTGTTGCGATTACTGTAGGCCATGAGATTCTAGAAAAGGGAAAAGATGTTTTGTATGTTTCCTTAAGAACAGTGGACTCTGTTGAAGGTGCGGCAAAGAGGTTGCTCGAGGTGATAGGCATCCCAGTTGACAAGGATCCTGTTGCGCAAGTAAAAAGTTTCGTCTCATCCCTTAAAAAAGAAACCATACTAGTCCTGGACAATGCTGAGGACTTGCAAAATGCAGACAAGCCTGCCTGTAATCAGTTTTTGGAGGTAGTTGGTGAACATGGAAAAAATCTTGTTATTTTAATAACAAGCAGGAATCCATTGTCAGTGTTTGATTTTCCTTTCAAAAAGCATCGCATTCCTCTGAAGCCTTTAGATGATGTAGCATCATTTTTCTTTCTGAAACATTATGCTCCTAACATTTCAGACCAGCTTGCAAGACATTTTGCAAACCAAAAGGTGTGTGGTGGTGTTCCTTTGTTTTTGAAATTGACAGCATCATTCTTGGAAAGCAAGACAATCGATCCCATAGATCTTCACAGAAAGCTTAAAAACTGTCCACATGGTTTTCTGAAAGTAAAGGATCCTAACATTCAAGAATTTTTCTCCCTTCTTAAGGTTTTCTACAACCATTTACGACCTGAAGTGAAAAAGGGTCTTTCTTGGCTAGCTGCATTTCCATCTGTTTTCACCAAAATGGATGCAAAGAATGTTTTGTTTTGCAAAGATGATTACTTTGATTTTCAAATCTTACTGAACAGTTTAGTGTCTCACTCAGTGGTTCAGGAAGAAGAAGTTGACAATCATCAGCAGTACAGTTTGCATCCATTGGTGCAAGCATTTTGCATTGCATGCAGAGAGGATGAGTGTAAAGGGTACAATATGGCAATCAGGCTTTTCTCGTATCATTATCTCGCTCTTCTACAACAACTGAATGATGATTTCATTACCACTAACTGCAAGGTTGCGATAGACAAGTATCAGATGAACAAAGCAAACATTGCTCATGCCCTTTCAGCATCAACAGAGGATGAAGTTTTAAAATGTTATGGAATTAACGTGTCAACAGAGACTGTGAATTTCGTGGCAAAAGTCATGAACCAGGATGAATTTATATCAACATATGACAAGTTTCTGGTGGTTGCAGAAAAGTTGCCTGACAAAACTCTTTACAGTGAGTGCCTTGTGTCCATTGGATTCAAACAGCTTTGTTACTATAGCTACAAAGATGCCCATCGCACAACAGCCAAAATGAACCTTCAAAAGGCACATGATCTGCAAATTGATCTTGGAATTTATGACACAGAATGTCAAGGTCACTGCAAGTGTAAGCTAGGGCTTTGCACTTTTCTTGCTGGAGACAGAAAGAAGGGCATCTCCCTCATTGCACAAGGTATTGGTGTGCGTCGCAAGTTGGTGCGCTCTAATCACTCAGGAAAAATGGAACGGATGCTTTTAGCTGGTGGATTCTGTGACCTGGGAAGTAAGTACTTATTTTTACAGAAGTAAATGATTTTTACAAAAATTAAGTATATGGTTTATAGTAAAAGTGCTACTGAAGTTATATGTAGTTTACGAGCACTCCACTCAGATAATCATATTTAGACAAAAGACTTGTGATCCAATAAACATGATTTAAAATCCCAATGGGTCAGAGACAACGCAGTTGGCTATTTTCATGCGCCATGATCAAGAAGTTAAACTTGGGTCAAATGAGAAACTAATCCGCAGCTAGTAGGACTTAAATGGGGACTTGCAACATGTTGTCCCCATATCAATGGCTTTAGCTGAATTTTTCCTAGGTGAAACTCAAAGGGTACAGATTTTTGTGTATAAAGGCCATCAGTGACCAGCCTGCAAAGAAAGTAGTCTCCGATACCCTGGGGCTAGTAGATTTTGCTATTGAGCTGGTGAATTCTGTTCTTTGTTAACTTGCCGCAATGAGCAAGTGAAGTTTTTTGGGGGAGTTCAAATATCAGAGAACAACCGTAATCAGTGTGCATCCAAAAATGTTTTGTGAGCTATTTGAAATTATTTTTTGGCTAGTTCATGTTAGCTACAGCTTGCCTGGATGGCAAGTTGTAAATCTGACTTTCTTTGCACCCTGGATCCGGTGACTTTTGATAAACTGCAAGGTTTTCCTTCAACTTGGCCTTTTTTTTTGTTGCACAACAAATTACTGGACAAAGTATTATACACAACATCAAGGGTTTCATAAGGCTTTGCTCTATGAACTCATCAGTACCCTAACTAGAAAAGGTTTAGTTCTACATTACAGTCAAGCCTGGGCAAGCATACCTCCAAGATGCCATTAATCAATTTATTATGATTCAAAAGTTGAATTAATTTGTAGTTGTATTGTAGATTTCAGATTCATTTCTGCATTCTTGCATGTGTAATGAATTGTGAAAAACATAAGGCAGTTGTGAAATTTCTACCAGCTCAGTTTCTCTGTACTGATAAATATGTCTTTGAAGCAATTTTATCCATTCAAAGATTTTCAATCTGACCAAATAAAGAGAAGTTCTCTTAAAATATCCACTGCTCTTTATACATGCAGGAATGCCAATTTGAATTTGACTCTAGTTATGGGAATGACTTGTGGATTCATTTTTCAAATAATCAATTCATTAACAGAGTCTTGGAGGGTATGCTTGACCTGCCTTGACTGTATCAAGTAAAAACTAATGAGAAGAACCATTTTTCAGCGGTCGTCACGATGTCGTTGTTCACATGATTCTCCTTGTTTTTTATAGTGTGTCCCTCTTATAAATGCCACAATATATTCTTACTATGGGTTTTTCTATTTTTCAGTGGCCTTGTTTACAAGCGGTCAGCACAAGGCAGCTCTCAATATTTGGGAGAATATATGTTTGGTCAAGTACCGTGAACTGTTGGGTACGCACCCCTTCACTGCCTCACTGTTGGACCACATTGGTAAAATTTATCAGGCCCTTGGTAAACCTCGACGAGCTGTTGCTTTGAAGAAAGAGTCTCTTAGAATGAGACACTTATTGTTAGGTATGCAAGGTTCATAGTTTTGAAATGGAAGCATTATATAAACACCTTAATTTTTTCTAATAACCTGCTCATAACATATAATTAATATGTTATAACTTTAAGGTAAATTATTAAACATCAGGGATTAAAAGAAAACCTGATTTCAGACTTTTCCTTTGGGCAAGCAGCTCTTGCATCTTGCTTGTCCATGACCACTGCTTGATTTTCTTAGTTAATGATTTATCTTGTTTGTATTAAATCTCATGGGTCTCTAGTATCATTTGCCCTGTGAAATGTTATCCAAATTTCAGAATCCAGGAAATTTTTGCCCATGGAATCCAGAATCTGGGGATTTTTTTCTTGTGGAGTCGGAAATCGTGGTCTTTGGAATCCGGAATTGAGCTTACGGAATCCAGAATCCAAGTTACACTGACAAGGAATCCAGAGTCCTTCAACTGGAATCCACAGCATGGAATCCAGAATCTAAGACTTTCTTGGATTATCTTATACACATAAAACATGTTTTGCATAATGTTAATTCATTACAGACCTTACAACTCCCTAACCCAATCCTGCTATCAATTTTTTGAATTTTTCAGGTGATGATAATCTTGACACAGCCAGAGCGTATTATGGTTTGGGCTGTGCTCTCAAGGGGTTAGGATCCACACCAGAAGCATTGGAGAATTTTAAGAAAGCCCTAGAGATCCAGTGTCGTGTTATTGCTTCCAAAGAAGATATTGAGAGAACTAAACAAGAGATGAATTCTCTGCGAGGAAGTGACGTAAGGGCAGAGTCTTCATGTCGCAAGCTTCAAGAGTTGCATCTTGAAACCCCATGTAATGTCTTGTCTCATCACAGTATGGCATGTTGATTCAGGATGTCACTGGATTTGATATAGTGCTCTACTCACATGTTTGTGTTTTGAACCCCTTCAAGTAGCCTGGAACCAGGCCCCATAATGGGAGAAAAAGGCCATTTCAGGAGCAGATTGGTGGACTTGGGACGGGGAACCAGGCTATCCTGTATGTAGTTGAATAAGCACCCAGTAGCAGTAACTGTTTTCAGACAAACAGCTCTCTTCTGTAGAATTCTTTAGAGTATACAATCAGCCCTACTGCTAGTCAATGAGGCCTGCAGTGCAGATTACATAACATGTTGCAGTGTGCTTACAAAGTATCTTTTCTAGATACAGTTCCCAGACACAACTAAGCTGTGCTAAACAAAGCACTGCCCCCCAGTTCGTGGACTAACCTGATGGACTACCCATACGGACTACCTTTGAATAATTTTATTGTTAGTTACTTCATGTACTTACCATCATAGTCTATTCAAAAGGCAGTCCATATGGGTATTCCATTTTTTCAGTCCATGGGAAGATTGCCAGTGGTTTGTTCACCTCTAACGAGGCACCACAATTGGATAACGTTTGTCTATAAAGCAGTCTATACGCGAGTACCTTGAAAACAGTACAATACCTTACAGTGTTTTGCTTTGCCGACAAGGTTTCTCCGCCCTTTCGTTTCTACCTGTCCACTTACAATAGTTTTGAATGCACTACAATTAATGGTACGGTGGCCAGACACTTGAACCTCAAGCCCCGTAATGGAAGTTCATGTAAGTGCCGTTGTAAGGTGTACATCGGTGATCCCATTTCGGTCGGATGTGACTTCCTTTATTCTTGCATACTCTGTGGCTTGCATGCAGTTATAAGTGGATGTATGAGAAAAATTGTAATGCCTGTTTCCTCACAATGTAATCGTCTATGCGGTATTATTAGTTGAGTTAACCTTGACTTAAGAACCATTTGTATATATATTGTCACCAGGTTAAAGTTGCTTGGCAACAGCCGTTAGAAAAAAATTCAAACGTTAAACGTTTATATAAAAATATACGTAATGTAATGTCTTCTTCATCTTACACAGGCAGATGACTGTAAAGGGTTTCGTTTAGTACGTTGAAATAATTTGAAGGTATAATTTTTACCATTTTTTGTGCTAGACTCGCTGAAACAACGTTCGGTTTTTCTTTCATCGCATTTTTTCTCTGCCTGAAGGGCTAACCTTCCGAGTCATACGCTGAAAAAGATTCAGTCAACTCCAGAAATATTCAGAACTTATTTCTGGAGCTTTTAATTCAATGTTCTGTCACTTTTTAAAAACATAATAAGCAGATTAATTGGAGATGGTTGGCCTATTCGCGTGAACATTTACGCTTCCAGAATTTGCTCGTAACCAATTTAAAAGTAAAATATACGAGAGGTTTTACTCAAAGAGTATCCGTGTGTTTGCAAAGCAAACTAATTTGTAAAATAACTCAGTATTTCAAACGATAAAGTGTAGCATTTTTTATTTATACGTAATACGTTCAGTGCATCACTCCTGTTTATAAAAGAAACGGTTTCTTGTCTTATGGACCAACAATTTATTAGAGATGGCTATATATGATAGCTGCTTATTGTTACCTTTAACTTTGGTAAAGAGTTGAATACTTTTGATAAAGGTTTTAGCTATGTGAAAAACATTGTCTTTGACTGGCTGTTTGTATTTTTTTTTAGTAAGGGAAAGTTTCAGAAGAGCAAATTACCGACTGAGACTAATGGCTAAGTTCACACGGCTATACCGCATAGCTTGCAACGGTGATTTCAGGGCGATTTCTGTAACCAAGCAAAAGTGCGCCGCGCCGATCTCTTATTGTAAGTGTAGGGTCACATTATCGGATAGGTGTTCACACTCTACTGAACAGCTTTTCGTGGTGTGAACTTAGCCTAAAGTACTTTGCTAGTTCGCTTCTTGTTTCAGTCATATTGCAATCGACTATGAAACATGAAACAAGGGGGGCAAAGTGGCTTTGAAATACATTTGACTAAAGAACGAGGCTTTACACCATCAGAATTTAACTGAAGAGGTTCAGTCAGACATTGCCCTGTTCCAGGCTAGGTTCCAAGATATTGAAAAGAAAATTGAGACAAAACCGCTTGGGGTTGGGGGGGTATGTGGGGGGGGGGGGGGGGGGGGGGGGGGGGG